GGAGGGGGGGGGGTGGTAAAGGTTTTTTTTAGGGGTGGGGTGTTGTAAGGGAGCTAATTCAAGCGTTAACAAGCTCCTGAGCTAGCCAGCTGAAATTTTCTGATAGCTAACATAAAGCAAGCTATCCGTTTAAGTAATGTCAGGCTAGCATGTTTTGTGTAGCACACTGAATTACCAGTATTTGCAATCCAAGGCTCTCTATCCTATAGCTTTTCCTGTGTCCCCAGACCTCTGTGACACTGCTGAGTTCATTACAGGGTCAGGGCCTCAATGAGATACTGGATTTTATGAGTTCTTTTTCATACAAAGGAAAACAACTGCTTGGTAGTTCCTCTATGAGATGAGGCATCTGCACTTGTTTCTCCTGCTCCCTCCCACTCCACTTACCAGTAAGGTAAGAGATCCCCAACAGCAAAAATTAACACAAGTGAGAAGCAAGGTGAGCAGAGCATGCTTGTCATAAGAAGGAACTGTTTTAACAATACCATTATTGTATACAGAACAGTATTTCTGAAATAAAAGCTGATCACTAAGTGACAATAGTGTGCTTGTCTATAGTTTACAAACTCAAGAACTTAAAACCAAAAGTATTGTTAAAAAGGAATGAAAAAAGACATGCACTCCAAGCATGAATCTCACACGTTCAGAATAGAGAAGAATCAGATTGCCCACAATAAAAGGTGTTTTTTTCACCAGTATATTTTACATGGGGAAGGCTCAGATACTTTAGTTATGGATAGCACTGTGAAATTCTAATATACTGACACACAAAAGGCAATTAAAAGTAAAAACAACCCCACAAAACACTTGAAAAAGAAGCAATTATGAGAGAAAATAATAACTGATCAGCTTTAAAGTAAATGAATGCAGAGCATTCAGATGGCAAATCTTTAAATGAATGCTTAAAACCAGCTTTTTTCCTCTATCCTCTATTTCTTCCCTGAATCTGGTCTCATCACAAAAGCCAACAGGTTTTTTTTAACTCCATAGTAACTAACTCTAGCACTCTTTCTCCAAGTTCTCAGGCCTGACAATACAAGAGTCTGTACCTAATGCCATGCTTTAGCAACCAGCAATAAATCAGAAGCAAGCTTTAGGTCCACTGTTTATTTGAAGCACCCTTATTATGAGGAAATATTTCTGGTAATATTTCCTTTTGTTCCTTTGTACTTCTCACTTATTGGTTTATAGCTTTCCCTGTATTGTCTCCCCCATTTGTATGTATTTCAAATGCTTTCACGCACTTGAAATACTTCATCATAATGATGCAGAACTTCACTTTGCTGGAACATTGAAATGTCTGGCTTGAACCTGACCTGCACTGGCGGTGGATCGCAGCTTGCAGCAGCCCACATGAAATGAGTTGAAGATCTCTGTCTGCTTCGAAGTGAACAAGGGCTGCTTTGGAACACACTACCCCAGATAACCCCCAAACTGACAGCCTGGGAGGGAAGTGAATGAACATGGGTGCTGAGTTACTTTTCACTTTCACTGCTGTGAACAGGTAACAAATCCACAGAAGCCAATTTGGATACTCAGCAAACTTGTATAAGGGTGAAAATACTGCTCCTTGTCTCATGCCTTCCTCCTTCCCCCCCCCATGCAAACTGTTACTGGTCTGGTGGAGACCACACTGGAAACTTGCACTTGTTGGAGCCAGGGACAGAGCACTTCCCTTTGCAAGACCTTGAAACGTTCAGGAGCTGAGGGCTGGTGCGCACTCATCACCCATAGCTAGCAGTGCTTTGGGTCCAGTCGGCTGAGGAACAAGCACCTGGAGGCCAAAGATACCTCTGAGCCAAAGTTGGAAAAAGTCTGCAGCCTGACGCAAGAGGGAAGAATTTGATTGAGACAAGTGCTATGGCCTTATAGGGGGGCTGTGGCTCGCAGGCAGAAGGCAGGAAGAAAGAACGTGAAGCGCAAGAGGTGGAGCAGCCCACCCTTCTCTGGCTGAAGCAGAAGGGCTGGTGGAGCAGCGAGGAGCCTGCCTGCCTGCCTTGCCTGCCTGAACAAGGGTGGGCTGTCAGCAGCCTCATGCTGCGATGCTACAGGGTGCTTTCTTGGGTGATATCCAGAACTGGTTTGAATAAAGCAAAATTAAAAAAAACATGGAATAAATACCAGTGGTAAACACTACGCTCTTCCAGAGCGTGTTCTGGATTTTAAGCAGTTTTGTTGAAATTTGAAGTTTACTTTGCTTCTTTGTTCAAGTTTATTAAACTAATTTATTACTGCTTCTCTTGGAATCACTTTGAAGATTCTGTTCATTCAAGAGAATATAAACAATGAGAAAACTCCTTAGAATTAAGAAGAGGAAATTTACGAAACACAGTATTTTAATTAGCAATAAAGTTGCTTCTTGCAGGGCACCAAGATTTCTTAAAATCCTAACAGCCTATATTTTAAAATAAAAGAATTTAAAACTGGGCAACAGTATGTTAATTTTCCCCTCTCTGCCCTTTAGGTATATTTGGAACTGCATTTGTAAGGATAAAGGAGAAGTATTTTTTTTCAGTATTTTTAACAGTCTGATGTTTTATCTGAATTGGAAATTGCATTTGATTTCTGTCTTTTTTCCCCAGTCTTTACTGTGGCTGCATCTGCTGAAACTGGGGGTGTAGGAGAGGGAGAAGTGTGATTTACACTGATGGAGCTTACTGCTGAACTCACTGGTGTTACTTGTGTGAGGTAAAGCTAAGCATACATATATGCCTCATGATTAGGATAGAGTATGAGTGTATGCCTCAAGACTGGGATTTTCCATTAGCCGTTTAGATCTGCTGATATTTTGGATCACTAGATCCTCCTCTCTTCCAATTTTTTTTTCAAAACTTCAAGACCTTTTATACGTTATTCTGACAAATACAACTGTTCTAATTATCTATATCCAGATTTTCTTTCATCCTTTTGTTTTCTGATGCTTCTGTTTCAAGAATTTGACTGTGTTTTCTCACTTCTGTTCTTAATTTTTGTTCTATATTGAAATCCTCTCATTTAGGTTTCATTCTAATTCTTCTTCCAACACTAATACCTCACAGATCTTTTCTCTCCTCAGTGTATATTATCTGTCTTTCTCAGTAGATAACATGTATGCTCTCTCTCCAGCTTCCAGATATTAGGACTTTCATTTTTGATTTCCAAGTGGCAATTGTAAGTGATTAATTCCATACAATTATTTGTGGTCACAGAATTGACAAAGTTAGGTTTGTCTGTGAAACCTCATGCTTAATATAAAATCAACTTTTATCTGTTGCGATCCACTAGGCTATTGAAGGATGTTGGGAGAGTGGCCAAAAGAATTTGGTGATGGCTCTCTTAAAAGCAGAAGGCATCTTCCCAACGTCAACCATTAGGTTGCTGCTAATGGCACTGGCTCCTTCATAACCAGTCACACCTTATGCAGATCCAAATGCCAGGCCTGGAGCTTTGAGTGATCTGTGAATTTATGGAGTGGTTTTTTTTTCCCCCTCCTTTGTAACTCTGATATTACTAAAGATTGTCTCTACTGAGAAAAAGAGATGGGTATTTACTTCTTTCAAAGTCTCAAATCAGTGATTTTCCTCTGTGTTTCTCATTTCTCAAATCTATAGGGAAGCCAATAGCTCTAGGCTGATAACTTTATGCATTCATATTTTATGGCAATGAATATAGGTTGGAAAGTGCTAAAAACAGAGCTCTAAAAATCAGTTCCTTCCTTCTTCTACTGTTGAATCAAATTAACCCCACAAAGACAGAAAACCTCTTTTCATCCTTTCTGGGACTGTGTCATATTTACCAAGGAGGTCTTCAGTCAGTCACTCTGGAAACTGGACTTCTGAAAATATGCTGAAAATTTTGGCTGCTAGAGTTGTTTAGCAGAACAAGAGATTCTCAGACTTCTGAAATTTTAGATCAGAAGAATCATGTGTATCTCCATGGCTACCAGATCAGTTCGTGAGCATACTGGCAGATTTCTGGTAGCCATTTTGGAAGGTTTCATAGATAAACTGCTTAGTGAAAAGACTACTGAGCCATGCAGGCTTGTTGGTGAGACCAAGTCAGTATATATTTGACCACCAGTCAGAAGGGAGGACATACTACTGCACCACCTTGCTATTTGACCTTGTTAAACTTGCTGGTGTCAGGGCTACAGATCAACAAAGTGGCCCATTTAGTGTCTTGGGATCTGGCGATCATGGGCCTGTCTACATCTCTGTGAAATCCAGACTTCTAGCATACAACTATTTCACTATGGGAAGAGGAGAAGTGGTGGTGTCACTGAAGGGAAGGCTTCAAGGATGTGTCTGCTTCCAGAAGCACCTTTGGATGTTTATAGAGACACACAGGACACAAAAGGAGGACCTTTTCAAAAGGCTCAGCACTTGGATATGCCATCTACCCTAGGTCCCACATTCTTTGCACATGCCTCCCTTCTTGCTATGTGCTCTACCTTTTCTTATTCTATATTTTCTTATTTCTACATATTAACCTCAGCTTCACCTCTGTAATACTAAATTTTAGTTCTCTCTTCAGTCACATATCTTCAATGCGTCTTGGATGATCCACACTACATCTAAGAGGAAAACTACTTGCAAAGAAATACTATCTTAAAGATATTCTATCCTATCGTAAAGATATCCTAAAATATACAACACTAACACTCAGCCCACATGCAGTAGATATATGATACAGTATCACTTTTCAGGTAAGGCATTCTGAGCTTTTGCAGGTTTGTTCTTAATCCTGTAAATAACTACAGATGGAAAATCACTTACAAGTGTCTGTGTTTGAAAAATGGGGGTTAAAAGACTTAACCAGGGTCATAGCTGAGGTCTGGT